GGCCGTGTGCCATCTGTTTGTAAATGGATGTTTTATTAAATGTGAATGTTGGACTTCACTAGTTTAACAGTGGTCATGCTTGATGTTTGCAGGTATGTGACAGTAACCAGTCACTCACCAGGCAAGCTGCAGCTGATTAGCATTAGCCAAATTAGCTGCCTCAACTGACCAACTTCCACTTGATTTTTTTGCTGAACGACCAAGAGAAAACCTCTGGTGCTGAAATGATACTGTCTGGTACAGGCCATCAAAGAAGTCTGTGTTAAAGGTCTTCTGAGTAATAGTCTTTTATTAGTGAGCATTTAGAAACCAGCCACCGCAGGGCCATATGCCAGTGTACTCATGGAGCACATGGATTGGGTTCTTCTTTGTCTTTTGCTTTGTTTTTCTGAGCCGAGATTATAATTTAAATTAATTTGTTTTGTCCTGCAAAAGACAGATTCTTGGATGAGAGTATGATTGAGAAACTTGTAAACATCTCCCAAGAAAGCTTTTGTTTAAGACAAAATCTAGGAGCAGGATCATAAGCAGTGACAGCTCGCTGACAGCTGATTGGTTGCTTCTCTTCTCTGTGGTTGAGACTCAAACATGAAATCAAAATTTGTAATTCTTGCCTTTACGCCACCTTTGAAGCACTCATTCTTTAGCACTTCTAACATATCGCATTTCTCTCACCTGCTCTTCTCCCAACAGATGAGCTCATACCCGGCTCCCATCCTGCTGATGAAAACAAGCCGCACTTCCTGCTGGTCCCGAGGTTCCCAGTACTCTCTTCACTCCGCCCACCAGGGGGGGCTGTTCCCGCTCACTACCGGCGACCGCCTGTTCGTCACGGTGACAAATGCATCTGCTGTGGACATGGACGAAGAGACCAGCTTCTTCGGTGCATTTCTGATCAGCTAGAGTAGCAGGTCCTGGACTCGGCATCTCGGGTTTTACCTGATGAAATAGCTTAATGATGCTACCGTGCTGTAATGATGAGCGTGGTAGCATCTAGACTTCTCCTAGAGTTCAAAACTATAAAAGTCAAGGAGAAGTCAAACAACTTTTACGACACTGGTTCTCTGGGGGGAGAAGACACTGATGTGGCTGTGCATGAGTGCTTATCAAACCAAACAGACTTTTGTATTCGAGTGTCTTAAAGTAAGTGTGGACTGGACTTTCCAGGGGTGTAGTTTTTTTTTACAAACATCTCTTTAAGGCGGAAGCACAGTTTTTAAGGATATGTAGACCCAAAAGCAATTTTAATATCCAACTAGGCATCTAATGCCTAATTCATAGCTCTGGGTCCAATATCCAACCTAGATCTTCAGCAAAATATAGACTACTTGTTGCACAAACTGTTTAATTTCTTGTTGTGTCATCTACAATCTGTGTGGAGAGCAAAAGGAGGATTCAATTTGCTAAAATGCAATCTAAACGAATCCACGGGCTACACCGGAATACCCCCCAAATTACGCGTCTCCAGAGGCTTAAACAACAGACTAGCTGAAATCTTGGATAGGTAGGTCTCAATGTCACACTGAGATGCAAACCTGCAGATCAACTCTTACAGCCTACTACTCACCCTGAGGCAAATGTAATGTAGGGCATGCATTTTAAACTGCTTCAGCCTAGCTACAGTTGCTCCACACCTGCAAGCCACTTTGTAGCCCACCTTCACCTACCGCCTCTTTTTCTTTTTTTCTCTGCAAGGTCTTGCTGCTGCTGCAGAGGTCCCAGAGCAGAGTCATGTAGCCAAAAGTAAATTAGTGCAGATGGAAGTAATGTTTTGCCATAGTGGCCTTGCCTGGGTTAGATTTAACTGATAGGAAATTTGGCTGTGAAGTGGCTGTGCAACACAAATATCCACAGGAAGGTTTGCCAAAGACCGAGAGTTTGTCAAACTTTTATTCTTTGTTCTTATTCTTGTTTAACCCCTGAAGCAGTCTGTGTTGCCTGAACAGGCTTCCAGTCCATCAGGGGGCTAGCACAAAGAATCAGAGCTTTAACGCTTATATCCAAGCCTATGACTAATTTAGAAACACTAAGAAACTTATACGTTTTTGGACTGAGGGAGCAAACTGGACCACCTGGAGAAAAGCCCATGGAGGCACAGGAAGAACACAAAAGCTCCACATAAAAGGCCCACCTGGCCACAAAGTTTAAACCAAGGAACCATCTTGCTTTGAGGGGACAGTGCTCCCCACCAGGCTTGGATACACCAATCACAAATAAACAAAATCAATACCAGCTGCAGTTTTTTTTCAGTTCTGCCATTAAGAAATGTTTGTATAAAAGTCATTTGAGTCCACACAGAAATTTTAGGTGTATTCCTGTTTAGAGATGTAAATGCTGTGCTCTATTTTTTTATTTTTATAATAATCATTTAAGTATTGAGTTCGTGAACTCTTTGTTCTTGATATTCCCCCAGTCAGAGTACAAACATGTGGGTAAAAGTATAAACCCGTATAAATTTACTGCCTTTCAGATACACTTAATATACCGACCCATCATGTTGACAACCATATTGGGACTATGAAATAGGGCTGCTTACAGACTGCTTACAGTCTCGCTTTTTTCTGTCAGACTTCAGCATTTTGGCTCGTCCACTCAAACCTTTCTCCAAGAGGTGCATTAAATGCTCCCTTGCAGTTGGTATTCATGCTATGTTGGATTAACTGCAGATGTGACTTTTAGACTCGGGAAAATGGTCTGCATCTAAACAGCAGAAATATGTTGTTTTCATGTTTATGTAGCTCTGCTGCTTTCCACATTGTTGTAGTGAACAACACAGCAGATGCCTTCCAAGGTAATTCAAATTAAAAAGCTGTTTTCACACATGCTCTGCAGCCTCAAACCTTAGTAGACAGGACCAGACAGAGGTGCATGATGGAAACAAATGTTTGAGGCAATCAAATAGGACCGTAGCCTGATTTAAACTCCCAGATCTCTCGTATTAGGTCCAAGTGATTTGTGAGAGCAGAGCAGCTATTGTTTGGTACAGCATTAATGACTGGGCGTCAGAAAAGAAGAAATTCAACTGTTGAAAATAATAAAGCGTGAGAACAGAATATGTAACAAATAAGGTGACCAGGTTTTTCCTGTCTGCTAGCTGTCAGTAAAAACTGGCGGCCAAGTGATTTCAAAATTTATGCGATGGGAATCAAACCAGTGCACTTCCCAACAAGGTCCAGGTCACGTCTACTGTCCTGCCAAGGAAATGTTTGCTTTCATGTGCAACTAGAGCATCAAACAAACCACACAAACAGCTTTTTTCCTCCAGTTTTTGCTTGTTTAAAGCAGCTGGCCTCAAATTTCATTCTGAGTGGAATAAAATATAAAATCTTAATTCTAACTTAAGGTGCAGAAAACCTGGAGAAGTTGCTATAATTAACATCATCATCATCTGCTAATGGCGTGAATGTAAACCCCCTCCAAATATTTACCATTACCACAAAAATGATCAGCTCGATGCTGCTGAACACGAGACTACACCTGGTAATGTAACTTTAAGCAACGAATACTTTTAATCTGGTTATGAATTCAATCTCAAGTATCCCCATTAAAGGTATTTTGTTGTTTTCACTGATGGATGCAGCGAGATTTAGTTGAGTTTAACGTGACATAAAAAGACATGAATGCAACATTCACTGTATTACTTATGTAAATAAATACAAAGCACAATCATTTCTCGTACGTTGTGTTTAAGAACGCGTGTTTGAACTTTTGTAAAGGTGGCTGTTTAAGTCTTGTTAAGTCATGTTACGCTCTGGACCAGCTTTGGTGTAAAAATGTGGTTTCACATTTGTGTTTTGGGGTTAATTATTTATGAAGTGGATCTACTACAAAACAGTCCATGCTATTTTTCCCTTTCACTCCCAATCAGACTGGGAAGTTGATGTGAATTTAGCCAGTACCTTAAATTCAGCCCTCTTTGTCCACTTCAGTTTATTTGCCGGACATCAAAAACAGACACTCATCAGGTTATTAAGAATTAAATTCTTTGCCAGACAATTAAATGTGAATGTAAATAATCCAATTTTTGTGGGTGTAAATATGTGAAATAAAGATTCAATAAAAAAGCTCTTTGGATTTCTGACCATTGTCTTAGATAAGATAAGATAAGATAACTCTTTATTGTCATTGCACAGTCATACATAGTACAGTAGTACAAT